GGGGGGGGGGGGGGGGGGGGGGGGGGGGGGGGGGGGGGGGGGGGAAGGGTACCATCACTTACAGTTGCCACAAACAAAGTTCCTCCTGTCCTCGAGCACAGACACGGTTCCCCACACTCCGCTGACGCCATGATTGACGTAGCGCAGCACCACGTGGAAGAGGTCCGGGGACACAACGAGCACGTTGACCATCACCTTGGACTGGGGAGTGGGGTGGGCCGGAGGGAAGAGAGAGCAGGAAGGAGAATGGTGCAGAGCATCCCCCAACCACACCAGCATATCCCATAATACACCCACAAACTCAAGCAAGCCAGCAACAGAGCCAAAGTAAAGAATGGGCAGGAGAGTCGCGGAACTTTCCAGATAAGAGCTCATGAACATGCAAGCTAGAGAAAGCCCAAGGATGTGAGTAACATATTTACATTCTACATTTAAAAAATTGACATTACAAATAATGCAAATAAACACAGTTCTACAAGCAAAGTATGCATTCATTTTATCCATATATAAAAACATGACGCTAATTGTATGACATAAATAAGTGATGTTGCAGCGATGTGGAACACAAAGTTGCAGCGATGTGGAACATAAGGCTGCAGTGATGTGGAACATAAGGTCGCAGCGATGTGGAACATAAGGCTGCAGTGATGTGGAACATAAGGTTGCAGCGATGTGGAACATAAGGCTGCAGTGATGTGGAACATAAGGTTGCAGTGATGTGGAACATAAGGCCGCAGTGATGTGGAGCTGACCGTCTGGCTGGCTCTCACCTGGATGGGCGACATCTGGGCGTATCCCCTCCAGCTGAAGCCAGGGAACTCCAGCGGGTCGTAGCCGAAGCGCACCGGCCGTCCGTCCAGCATGCTCCCGTCTTCCAGTTCGAACTTCAGGTGGTGCAGGTCCGGGAAGTAATGATCCGGACGGGGCCTGTGTGTGTTTATGTGTGGGGGGGGAGTGGTTTCTGAGACCCCACTCAAAAAAATTTCCCCTCAGATTTTTCAAAAACTATATGAAAAATATATAGCTAGTTAGTAGAGTCAGAAGATGGTAGCTAACTGGTTAGCAGAACATGCTGCTTCAGCATCTCCCACATAAGGAACGCGTTTATGTAATATTAAGCGTAGCGACTGTTTGTGGTCAACAGGGGGCCCTCCCAAACCTCGAGGGTCCTGGGTTCACACTCACTGGTTGCATTTCGGTCCCTCCACATTGGGACGGCATCGACAGCGGCCATTCCTCTCTCCGCATGACAGTCCAGCAGACCCACCAATGTCACACTGACAGCCTGTGGGGGGCGGGGGAGAGGTACGGACGGGCACAGACACAAATGACATATGTAGACACGCAAACAGACAAAACAACACACAGATAAACACAGAGGTAAAAACACGCAGTGGTGCATGTTAATAAACACCGAAAGGGAGCAAGGAAATAAGAGAGAGTTTCCGGGCGTGAGTATGTGTGTCAGACTCACCCTGACAGCCAAAGAAGCTGTCACTGCGCAGGTTAAAGTAGCCGTCTTTGCACACGGCACAGGTCCCCCCACAGACACCGGGCTTGCAGTAACACTGCCCCGTGCTCTAGGGGTCGACAGAGAGTCTCGTTCAAATTACATACAGTGTAAAGCGGTCGGGCGGGAAAAACACGGAAACAAATCGGAACATCGATGAGCTGCTACCCACATTTTTCTCCACTAATTTGCCGCGTAGAGTACACGCGTGTTCCGGTATAGCCTAACCAGTTGTGTCAGTTGTGTTTCTGTATCATTAAGCATGTGCCAGAGCAGACCTTCCCATCGGCCAGCCCCCCCCATGTCAAGGCCAGAAATGGCTGCATATTTACGAGTTACACCCAGATTCGTACCTGAACGCACTCCGCCACTGAGCTGATGGTGCCGTCTATGTTACATTCGCAGCCTGGGAAAGAGCACATGCGGTCACACACGGTCATGCTTTGTCGTTAATTGTCACAAATGGTCATTCACAGTCTTGCACCTTCACACATGGTCATTCACAGTTACACACGGTCACACACAGCCAGGCTAATGGACCATGAATTGGCTATCCATATACGGGTGTGGTGCTTTCTGGAAGGTTCCTTACTGGAGCATCCATACGGGGTGTCGGGGGAGAGTTTCCAGTACAGGGGTTTACACTGGTCACATGCTGGTCCCTCCACATACACGCGGCACTCGCACGAGCCCTGAGGAGGGGAAGCGGGCAGGCGAGTGAGACGGACCAATGAAAATCCATTCAGATTCCCGAACCTTCCTCGGAAGTACAGATACATTCAGGAAGAACGGCATCCAGACTGAACGTGCCAAGACCCGTTGTGAGTGGCGGATGGCTTTCTAATGAGTAGAAGCAAGAAGAACCTGCAGGAGTTAAACCCAGAGGGGATGCAGGTCATTTTTCCACTCTTCTGGAACGTCCTGTACTTACGGCAGGGGAGGCCTCAATCTGCAGCGAACCCGCCGGGTTGCAAGTGGCCTCTGCAGAACAGAGAGACGGCAAACCTTGTCAGTTTTACCACTGACACTGAAACAGGCCCAGTGTGTGCAGTAACACGGAGCACATGCTTGCCCAGAGCCACGCCCACCAGTAGCCACACCTACTGTGTGGCCACACCCACCCAGAGCCCCACCCACGTGGAACCCCACCCGTCACCCGACGACGGTACCTTGGCACAGCGGAAAGCCATAGGATCCGGGGCTGCAGGAGTCACAGCGCTGACCTACGACACTGGACAGGCAGCTGCACTGTCCTGTCAGCTGGTCGCAGGAGCTGAAGCGTGACCCCTCGTGGGAGCACTGGCAGGCTGCATGGGGGGGGATGTTCAGACGCGCAGTGAGTAGAGGGTTCACATCCCTACTGGATGAGGAGGTTTGTGAGCCCATATTATCTAAGTAAAAGCTTGAATGTAGGCGGACGTACGGATGCAGCTGGGGTAACCGTAGTAACCGGGCGCACACTGGTCACATGACGGGCCGGCAAAATTGGGCCGGCAGCGGCAGTGTCCGGACGGACCGCAGTCGGAGTCCAGGGAGGTCCTGGGATCGCATGAGCACACTGGGAGGGGAGGAAGGGGACTGATTCAGCACAGAGCAGAGCAATCAGGGCCAGCCAACAAACACGCCCTCAACGTTCAGTCACTCAACGAGGAGCTGAGCCATTCAAGTAGACGCTCCCCCAACCCCATCCACACACCTTGACAGTACGGGTACGAGAGAAAGGCCGACAGACACTCGTCACAGCGTGGGCCCTGGAACCCGGGACGGCACCGGCAGCGACCAAACTGGTCACATCCCCCGGAAAGGGAGCCCACAGCACTGCAGCTGCACACTGTGGGGGGGGGGG